CCCCAAAACCCCAAAACCCCAAAACCCCAAAACCCCAGTTCAGGCTATGATAATTGGATAATTATTAATGGGCTTCAAGAGTCATATCATCAAGTCTCTTCTGAAGTTCTTGGGCTTCTTTGTTCATCTGGTGAATTTCTTCCTGACCATCATCTTCTTCTTCATCATCCTCTTGTTGGTCAGGGTCAAAGTTGGGCTTAAAGATGTTGTAGCTATCTTCAGCAGTAGAGATGATGACTGAGTCATAGTATGGATGGAACCTCAACTCTCTCATATTCTTTTGTCCCAAGTGGAGGAACATCAACTGAGGAGGAATTTCAGTATCGACTATCTCATCTTTAGAAGCTTCTACTGAAAAGTCCCAGACAGTTAGTTTGTCATCAGATGCTACCGAGAGTACTCATTCTTCCCTTGGCTGGAACTGAATTGATGTGATTGGCTGACCATGCCATTTAATACTAGTCAAAGGCTCAGACTTAAGATCTTTTTGCAGTTTACGGAGATCCCATACTTTAAAGAAGCCATCATCAGATCCTGAAGCGATTAAGAATGGACAGTGGCTATTCCATGAGATTACATTAACATCAGCATCATGTGCTTGCCAAGATATCTCTGGTTTCCATTTGTTATCTCTGAGATCCCATAACTTGACTGTCTTATCAACAGATCAACTTGCAAGAACGTGTTCTTGTCTAGGGCTAAATTGAATATCCTCAACTGCAGCTTTATGTCCTTTCAGTGGCTTGTCGTGCATCTTAAAGTCACAGAAGTCAGTATCAGTAGGCTCATACAGGAAAATATTCTTATCATTTCCTCCTGAAGCTAAGAGACCTTGTCTTAATGGAGACCAGTCAAGAGCGTATCCTTCTTGGGAATGATTAAAACTCGAAATCATAGTACTATATTTTTTATGTGACATAGTATTCGATTTATTCTTGTGCTTCTTCTCCACTCTCTGGATAGCTTCCTCAAGGTTAAAGATGGAAACCTTTCCTTTTCCTTCAAGATTACCCCAACAAGCAACAATATTTGACCCATTCATAGATCTTATCCGGTTTACTTGGCCTAGATGAGGGACTGATTCGAAGTAAAGCATAGCATCTTCTTCGTTATCATCCTCTTCCTCTTCTTCGTTCAAGGTCTTGTAGAGATTAGTCCATTTCATCACATAAATACAGTTTTGCTTCTTTGAAGGAGCCTGACTTCCAGCCACAACATAGCAATCTAGAGGATACTTAGTTGGCAAATGAATAGGTGTCTCCTTAGTTTCTTCCTTTGTGTCCTCCATATCTTCATCCTTCTTCTCAAAAAGTGTTGGGTTGAGGTTATTAACATACTTAGGGAACCAACTGCTATATTTCTCTTTGTCAAACCTATCTTCTCAAAGGATGTCTACACTAAGACATGGCCATTGGACATTAGATCTATGCAACATTTCATATGCAGAATTGTCAAAAATAAGCTCTTCATCTTTTTTCAGCTCTTCATTGCCCAAAAATACCTCCTTGGGTTTATTTTCCTGGGTTTTCTTCTGCTTGCTAGTATCTATTTTCTCTTCTTCGTCTTTGTCATCTTGCATATTTTCATCTGTGGGGGCTTCAGCAACCTCAATGACTTTCTTTTTGTCATCGATGTCTTCCCAGTCTTCACCTTCAATCACATTTTCCTCCTCAAATTCGTCTTCGAACTGGTCTTCAAAATCTCCGGCAGAGTCCTTCCTGTTGCTGGTAGTTTCTTCGTCGACGGCTTCTTCTTCGAATTTCCTGGTACGTTTAGCGCCTTGACGGACGAAAGGCTGTGGGCCTTGGATCTCTAGAAGAAAATTTTAAGACATAAAGAGATAGATGGATGGCTTACCTTCTCCGTTGAGGTCATGGACTTCTTCAGGCTCTGGTTCTTCATCTCTCTTACGCTTGGCAGCCTTCTTTCTTTCCTTCTTTTTCAGATTCTTGATCTGGTTCTTTGTTAACCCCTTGTACTTGTCCTTTGTTTCCATAACACGCTAATATATTAAATTTATTTGATTTTTGGGGTTTTGGGGTTTTGGGGTTTTGGGGTTTTGGGG